CTCGAAACTAACACCTCTGAGAAGTGTGAAAACCAGTTCCGCTAAGTATGGAGCGTTCTGTCCTGAAAACCTCAGCACGCTGATTCCTGAATGCTCAGGAACTATATCTACACAAGATCTGAAACATTGTATTTATTAAAAAAAAAAAAAAAGGCTTGTAAAACTACAGTGTGTATATTCAATAGTAGTTTGGAGATAGTGGTGGTTAAAGACTTGTTAAAATAGACTTCTGGTCTAGAGTTTGTGCTCCTGCACAACCACAGAACTGAGCCACAGGCTAGAACATGTGATGCTTAAAAACTTCTACCTGCAGAAGAGATGAGTGAAAGGCAGGTTTTGTTTTTTTTTTTATTTCTGGTGGTTTTTTCCCTTGGCCAGGGAAACTCCTGGAACTTGGATCTTTCCAGGGTTTATTGCCCAGAGTGGCTACCAGAAGTTTTGATTACAGATGTGGAGACAGGCACTCCAGTTCTTCCCGTCTTTTTCTCTGAATGCATGCCTTCCAGCCTCCTGGCCTTGTGCTGTGTGGTGAGTCAGCCTGGTGCAGTCTGCGGACTAGACAGGACTTTGGTACAGAGATTTCCAACCACTGCCTACAAGATGAATGTGTGAATCGTATCCTACCCACACTACTGATGTTTCAGGAGTTGCCTCAGCTGCCTCTGGTGGCAGTGTGTCAGAGAGCACAAGAATTTGCACTACCAGGCTTTGAGCCTTCCTTTCTTTAATAGGTGGACCAAGAAAGCATGAGCAATGTTTGTGTTGTACCTCTCCAGACTTATCTGGGGTTTGTACTGGCTGACTGAGCACCTGGTACCTTTCCTATACTATTAAGATTACTTAAGCAAACCCAACAAATTGTGGAATATTAATTCCACATGTCTCCAAGTTAGTAGTTTTTTTGTCTGCAGATAATTTGGTGAGGGATCCACAATGTAAAGAAAAGTGGGTCTTTTCTCAATGTCTTAAACAAACTACAGCACTCCTTATGGCTAGAAAAAGTATAATCATATGGCTTTGGAAATGAGGAAAAACTGACAATTTTTTAAGGGAACCTGTCATTTAAATAAAATGTTTTGAGCTATTGTGGGGTTTCGTATTAATTTCAGTTCCTAATACATGTTGGTGTTGGCTACTAACTTCCTGGTGCAATTCAGTGTCTTGCACATTTTTAAATAAATACTTCATGTGCAAATAATGACTTGCTATTTGCAAGCCTTCAGCAGATCTTCATCTTTGATATGTTCAAATGTCTTACTATCTAGGTGCAGCTACAGCATTGGGAATTTCTAACTGTAATCTTTAAGATGTTGACCCAAGCCCTTTAACAGTGAGTGCTGAAGAGGTTGTACCTGTGGCAGAAAGCAGGGAAAGCACGCACTGTGCAGTGAAAGTCTACCTCTCTTCCTCAGAAACTTCTCTGTGGGAACTCATGTGATGCAATGCCTCTTCCTTAAAGAGCAGGGAAGAAAAATGTGAAAAGTCCCTCCTGCCTGACTGTGGGTGTTTACTTTCTTTTTTTTTGTGTGTGTGGTGTAGAGATTCATTTTCCCTGTCCCCACTGAGCTGGTGAAGCCCTGCTGCACCTGACACACCAGAAGAGGCTGAGGGAGCTGAATCCCTTCAGCCAGGAGAGGTGGCACTCAGGAGAGATCTAACTGCAGTAGCCAACTATAACAAACATTTGCAGAAATGAGGGATTTTTCTCCGAGACCCCCAGTAAAAACACAAAAACCAGCTGTCATAAATTGCAGCAGGGGAATCCCACTAGGATATGCAGGAGGAAACTCACACTGAAAGTGATTAAGTATAGGATAAATTTGCCATTAGCCTTGTGCTGAGCATTAGGCTGGACTGAAAGACCTCCAGAGTCCCGTCCTAAGACAGGTTTTCCTGTGAGTCCACACTGGCTGTTTAGAAAAGACTGAAAACTCTGGCTCCAATTGTGACTAGTCTTTAGGTCCAGAGTAATGTGAACTACTCATTTTTTTAATTTTTGTGTGAAATGCCAGACACGAGAGAGACTTACCTGGCCTCTGCCAGTTACTAGAAGTATTTTCTGTATGCTTTGGGAATTTCTCCCCTTTCTGCATCCTCCCGCACACTCATTCAGGTATTTAAGAAAAACCCACCCTCATATCCACTGCAAATATCAGAGACTCACAGCCCAAGGTCATGCTACAGTAACAGTTTCAGGGTTAAATTGTCTCCTCTTATGTGTGGAAAATAACTCATTCAAGGGAAAAAGAAAGAAAAGGAATAACCAAGGAGATGGTGCTATGAAGTGGGATGAATCAGGCAACTTTCAGCAAGAATGTACTTGTGAAATGTACTTGTGAATGTACTTGTACTTTACCTCTGTGTAGCAATACTTTGTCCTCAAGAGAAAAAAAGCTGTTTTCCCAGCATTGTGATAGGTTTCAATTCCAGGAATGGAAAAGATCCTCATGCCCAGAGTTCTATATTGGTTCACAAAAACATCAGTTCTGCTTTTTCACAGTAGTTTGTATCAAAAAGGTGCTTCAGTGTGTAAGCTGGGATGAGCTAATAGCATAACTACTTATGTGGATTCTGCTGGAGAAAGTAATATATATTGACTTTTCATTTCTTCATAAAGTTCAGAGCACCCTTAATATTGTTTTTAAAAATTCTTGTATTTTAAATGGCATTGCAGTGCACATCGTCCTGTAGTGTTCCTCAATTTTTTTAAAAATGTACTATATACATATTCTATGAAACTCGAGACATATGTGTCTGTATGTATCTATATGTGTGTGTGTAGCTGGTCCTTCTTTGACTGCAGTAATATTTATCACAGAAAGCCCTGAAGCAGCATGGCTGAAGCTGATGAGTAGCACAACATTACAGATCCTGATAACCTGCTATAACAATAACAACCAAATTTCTATGAAGAGTTACCAATTAATGCAGAAAGCTGAACCCAGTTGCAGATAAAACACTATCAGAGTGCAGTACGCATGAAACCATGAGTTCTTCCATGTGACAGGTGTTTCTTGCCCCATTTCACCACGTGGCAGAGCAGGTTTTTTTCTGAGCAAAACCCACCGGCGCCAGACAGGCTGGCCCTCAGTTCTGCATTCGTAGGAGGAACCACCATCAAAAGCAATTTTGGCAAAGGTCCACACTTCAGCTCCTGGCAATGGGCTGTTACGTGGGGTATGGGAAGGTGTGTTGGTACTATTTGAGTAAACAAATACGTGACCTGTGACTAAACTTTGATGAGCTTTCAGTCTAGTGATTGGTTTGTAAAAGTTCCCTATTCCCGCACTTGAGCTCATATAACATGACGAAATACTAATTGCATTTGGTGTGGGGAACTACTTAAAGGTCACTGAATTTTGAAAATGTGTTTGGGAAATGGATAGATAAAAAATTTACAGCCAGGGTAGACTTTCTGCTTTCTGCCTTCATTTTGGTAGGTGTTTTTTCACTTCATTTCTTCTCAATTCTTTAATTCCCTTAATTGGTTTGACTAATTAATTATTCAAAGCTACATAGTTAGCATTTTAGTATATCTGCTGCAGATTTAGTGCTGGTATAATGAGGTATAGGTGATCAGCTGAACTGAGAGGCTGTGCCCAAGGTCAGCTTCTTGATTAGATGTTGTCCAGTTTGCTGAATATAACTGGTTGCTTTTAAATAAAGAATATCTTCATTTGAATCAGAACTTGCACTTTTTCAACCTGACAAGTGTTTTGCCTCCACCTTTTCCCAAAGCAAAGATGATTCTCTGACAAATTTTTTTTGTCTGCAGACAGATGGTCTTCACATCCATTACTCCTTTGGTGGGAGTTGTTACATAGTGCTGCTTTAAGTAATACAAAATTTGCATTTTTCTCTTCTTGCCTGTCATCATGAGTTTGCAAAAAGAGAATCCTGACTTTTGCCTAGTTGTAGTGCATGAGCAGCGAAGCACTGGTGGGTGTCAGCATCAGGGAGTTTTCTGAGAGGGAATCATGAGGGGCAAGGCCAGGCAGGAGGGCCAGCAAGCTCCCAGCTGCCTCCAGTAGCACCACATCCACCACCAGCAACCGACTTGGCTGAGTTTTCCATACATCCCAGGAGCACAAAACTCCTCTCCCAACCAGGCAGGAATGCACATGGCATTAAAGCACTAGTAAGTACAAAGTGAGATTTTTTTTTGGCTGGGAGCCCTGGCATCTCCAGCCTTGGGGTCAAGCTTGTAGGGATGCACATATTGGGAAGACAGGATTCAGATGACAGCACTGACAAATGCCAATATTTGTGCAGGCAGTGTTGCAGCACACCTGCACCAGTTGGGGCATATGACTGGCAGTTTGAAAGTCCAACCCAGAGAGGCACTTTGGCCCAGTGGGCTGGGCTTACCTTCTCATTCCCTGTTAGGAGGCTGGTAGTCTCGCAGCCTCCCATCATCTCTCCAGCAGCCCGTGTGGTGTGAACGTGCTGCCCAACAGCCAGCAGGAATTTCACAGCCCCTCATTCTTCTAATGATACACTCCTAGATGATGTCCTGCTGTGAACGCACCTGCAAACTCTGTCTCTTGCATTTGACCCAGAGGCAGTCCATCAAACCAGAGGACAACCCTTGGGTAGGTCTTTTATATGTTTGCAGCAAAATTTCTTGTGTTCTTCAGCTGTGAGCAACTAGTGAGCTGAAATATAAATAAACAAATAAATAAATAAATAAATAGATGAATAATTTAATAGATAAAAAAGATGGCAAGCAAGCAAGCTTCTGTGATAAATTTATGGGATAAAACAATACTGACAGATGTCATTTGGGAATTAGTGTCTTTAAAAAAGGACCTTATTTATGATGGTTTGCTTCATAATTAGTTCCAAACTTCAGCATGACCACAACTGCCAAGTAAGAATGATTGCTCGTTTTTAATTTAGAGCAACTCATATGTTTTCCAGCTAAATTAAACCAAACTGGGGAATTTGGAAAACCACTGAGGGGAAGTCTGGAGTGGTTAACAATTACTTCCTCATAAGACATGCCCAAGAGGAAGAGAGGTGCTTTTCAGTCATGGAGCTGCTCTCCTAAGCATGAGGAGGATCATGCTTTCCTTCCTGTGCTTACTGATGCACCTGCTTCAGGATGAGATAACTTGTAAGTAAGAGCTTTTCGCTCTTTTCCTATGTGGGGAGGGGGGGAGGGGGCAGGTCCTGTTTTTGAATCTCTGGATGAGTCAAGAAATCTCTGGATCTTTTGCTGAGTTTTAAAAGTCTGGTCGCTTTCAAATTAGTCTGTTATTTTATCTTTCAAGGTTCTGAAATACAGATAAAACAAGCATGTTACCCGTTAGATTTTTTCGTGGCTGTATTACCAGTTTCAGTTCAGCCAGTACAAGTCTTACCAGATTTTGTGATATGCCAGGGAAAAAGCTGCTGTCATCTAGGTTGCAAAACCCAGAAAAATACTAGGATTTGGACGTTTCAGAGAGGTTTTTAACTGATTCTGTCAGTAATATTGCACTTTGAAAACAGATGACCTTAAAAACTGTCAGACAGCAGACAGGAAAAGCAGTGAAACTCAGGTTATTGTTTATTAGGCAAGAGCTGGTAAATGCAACTGTGGCAACAGTTAAAAGAGCTATAATCTCTTCAGGTTAAAGCTGAACACAGAGAAAAGAGCATTTGACTTTTAACTACTGAATGGGCTGCTTACTGCAGACTCTGTGAAGAGATCCAAAGGATTTGTTTCCTGGGATGTGCATGAGGCATCTTACGCAGCAGTTAACTCACTAAGGAAAAAAACCCACAAAAATTTAAAAAACCACAAACAAACAAACAAACAAACAAACAAAAACCAACAAAAAAACCCCACCCAGACAGTCCACATAAAAGTGTTCCTTTCATAGTACTAAATGTGCTTCCTCTGTAACTACTAGATCTCATGACTTGGAACGTTTTGATCGTGACATCCAGGAGATTTAATTTCCCTCTGTGGTCTGCTAGTCACAAAACCAAATACCCCCATGATTTCAATACAGAGGAGCGTGTCTGGGACAAACACATTATATTATCATTCCATATTATTTGCAGCACTTTTACTTACGGAAAACCAAGACCTGCAAGACTCGATTAAGCCGCAGAAGGTAGAGTTTCGTTCGTTAAACTTCAACAGCACTTTGCATTGGCAGCCTGGGTGGGCCAGAGAGGCAAGAGACACACTCTACTTTGTGCAGTATAAAGTGTAAGTACCAGGGGAACTCCAGCCTCCCACTGTGCCAGGGCCTATCCCTGCAGGCCACATCAAAAGGATTTCTCAGATGACATGGGATATTCTCCTCATACCTGGGGAACAGCCATGTCCCGCTTGGCTGCCAGCTCTCAGTTGTCACTGCACTTATCAATTAATATTCCATAAGGTGCAGCCAAGCAGCATGAGGCAGACAAGGAACAAGCACCTCCAGCAATATGCTCTGTATCCTCATTGCACCGCAGAGTTGAAGAAAAATGTAGGTTGCAGGGGACCTCTGAAGGTCACTGGGTCCAACAGCCTGCCGGAAGCATGTCTGGCTAGGTAAAGTTCTTCCGCAATAGGACATTAAAGGTGTTTCAGTGGCCCACCTTGCCCACGACAGTGTCTCAGGGTGCCTTGGATGGCAAGCTTGAGGCAACACTAGGGGCTGGTCGTCAGGGTCTGCTCCCATCCCTGGTGCACCTGGTGAGTGCCTGAAATCATCATTGCCCTTGAGAAATTACCTGGTGAAATCTGGCATTCTGCTCATTGTTGAACACACCGGCTAAACCAAAGCTTACCTGCCTCTTCCACGGGGCAAGTGAGAGGTGGCTTCCTACAGGGCTGGTGACCCATGTCTCTGCTTTAGGTATCTTTCAGAAAAAAACAAAAACCTGTAGCTCCCAAATGCCCATGAAATCAACCTTCTCTGTCATCAAATTGAAAGCAGTAAATTTCCACTGGTGTCAGTGACACTGAAGTAAAACAGAGGGCTAACAATCTGCATGGACCCAGTTGGTGATAGCTAAAGTTTACATCCTTCCTTCTCTTTCTCCATAGTTATGGGCAGACCACATGGCAAAACAAAGATGACTGCTGGGGCATTCAAAGCCATGTCTGTGACCTAACACATGAGACCTCTGACATCCGGGAGCCTTACTACGGAAGAGTGAAAGCTGCATTGGCTGGTGTCTATTCCAACTGGAGCCTCAGCTGCAGATTCACTCCCTGGCGAGAAAGTAAGTGCAAACATATGGGTCTCTCAGAAAGGAATTTGATCTTCTAAGGCATGAAATGCATAATTTCTGCTCACAATTTGCAAGCTTCCTTTTCTAGCTACAAAGCTGTACCTAAAGAAGTTTTGAGTCAATTGCTCCCAGGTGAAGTGTTATACTAAAATAATTTTTCCCACACTTGAAAGCCAACCAATTATGGCTAAATGGGCACTTACCAATAGTTAGGAGATCAAAAGTGCCCAGCTCCCTTTAATTCACATTGCCCTCTTCCTCAGGGCATGGAACTATATTAATTATTTTCAGCCAGTTTTCAAGCAGCTAGAAGGACAGTACACAAGATGGAAAAAAGGAAACATACCCTTCTTGGGGCAAAAAGAGAGCTGAGTGCTGTGTGGCCACTATTCTCCTCACATTTATGTGTTTTCCTCACTTCAGCAAAGGACATAGAACAGACATGTGCCAAGCTTTTAGTTAGTTCTGTCATTATAATGCCATAGGATGTTAGAAATGGAGGACTGTCCAAACACTGAACAGTACCAGCCTACCTACCCAAAAGTTCCCCATGAATTAACCAATTTTTCCTCACTGGTCAATACAAAATTGAATTGTCAACGTGGGTCACTTCGCAGCTCTGCAGTGCAAACTACCTTGAGCCTCCTGCACAAATGAAACCACAAGCTTTGATATAAAGCAGTACCTTGCAGCAGCAATAGCCCATCTTGTCCTGTGCCACCTCCTCCTCCTAAAGAGATGTATGGGGCAGCTGCTGCCCTGTCTCCCCACATTTCTGGGGCTGCACACACAGGTATGCAGGAACTATCTTGAACCCTTAGCTGTGTTTAACCAAGCAGATTGCAAAAAATTTTAAAGTGATGATGGAAACTGCATTCTTGGCATAACTGAAATGATTCAAATGGATATTTTCGCAGTCCAAGCACACAGACAAATATGAGGGAAAAAGAAAATCAGGACAAAGAATCCAAAGCATTTTGCTTGACTAGGCAGCACGCAGCAACATGCAGCTCTAAGAGATTTCAAAAAGTTTGGTTCTAAGTTAGATTTACAAACACAGGAAATGTCACCCCTGAAATAGCAATAACCAAGCAATAATCACCAAGAAGGAAGAATTTATAAAGTGACTCTTTAACAGCAAATACAGCATAATATATTGTTGGCAATATGACCATTTGTTGAACGGATTCAAATTGCATTCTATGGAATATTATTAATAAACTAGAGTTGTGTTTATAGCTTTGGGTTTTTTCCTTAGCTATAATAGGACCTCCAATAGTAACTGTGGTTCATAGCAACAAATCCATTGTAGTAAAGCTCCAGCCTCCACGTTCTCCATATAAAAGGAAGAAAGGCAGCAAGATACCAATGACAAATTATTATGATCTGCTGTATCAAGTCTTCATAATTAACAACTTGCTAGATGAGGTAAGTGTATATTCAAATATGAACCCTTTACCGTTGAAAAGCCAGGAAAGTATGGGCACACCATTCTTGTTTTGCAGCTGAAATAGTCTTCTGGGATTGTGAGAGCATTGATGACTGCACAGGCATTTGTAAACAATGTAGACTTATTTTTCAGGAATAAAATTTGTTTGAGCTGAGTTGTAAATCCTCCCTGTATTATTTATCATCAGCTTAGTATTTCATACTCTAAGATCTATATTAAAAAATTGAGACAGGAGGGGAATTTGAGGGGAGGGGCAGAATTTTCTTTTAAAATCATAAATAAATTATTAATGCTGTGGACTTTGTGTAACTCCACATGCTGTTCTATACCCTCTGTTGTTAAACTTTACTCACAAATACGTTTGCTAGGGAAATGTGCTTGACTGGCTCTTTTTTCTCCACCATGTGTGAAGCAACACAGAGTCCTGGTGTATGAAGGAAAAGACAAGGTTATTAAAATAAAAGATTTGAGGCCTGGAGTCAGCTACTGCATCGTGGCTAAAATGTACGTGCCCATACTGGACCGCAGCAGTGCCTACAGCAGCAGGCAATGCACTGTGCTGCACTGACAGGTAAGTCACTAGCTGAAAGTGGAGATGACTCTGGAAGTCAAGATCACAAAGGCAGATGCTCTCCAAAAGGAGAAAATAAAGTGTGGCATAGAAACTACCATCCCATATGACAATATTAGCTAGAATTCTTACATAATCTCGGTTAGTTGCACACCAGGTAAGAATGATAAGGCCAAGGAGGTTAGAAGAATGGGATAGAAAATTATTTGCATGCTGGCACTGTCCTCAAAATTATCTCCGTGCCTTTCTTTAAACAGTTATAAATAGTATTACTTTCATTTTTTTTCTGCCAAGTAAGAATTAATTAGGAAAATGAGTTACCTCCAACTTTATTAACATGCAGTTCTCCTGCAAGCTCTGCATCTCAATTCTGTTCAGGAATTGATCTGATGGATTAATTAAAATATGCCTGCCCCCTTTTTGTAGCCACTCTTCAGTGTAATTTTTTTAAAAATAAATCAGTTATCAAATTTCATAAGTTCCTGTGGGCCAAGAGTTAGCTCCATTAGCTGGTCTGAAAATTTGTTTTTTTACTTACCTCAATCACTAGACTATCTTCAAATATTATATGCCCAGCAAACAGATTTACCATCAATCCTGTCTTGCAGGTGCAAAGGCACGGAGTGTACAAAGACCTAGCCCACAGCTGACTTCACTGGAATTGACCTTAGCAAGCTCATATCTGGGCCCTTTCTAGGGGGAAACTGAAAAAGTGTCAGAGTTTGAACCTGGGCTTCTGTTCTACCCTAATTGTTATACCTAACTATAAAAGTTTTCCTTTCTTCAGCTTCATAATATGATGCATAACATTGGTCTCTCTCGAGTCTTGGTCAGTGGATTTAGGCTAAGGAGGGAGCCCATTTCTAGGGGACATTCCTGCAGTTTTGCTCACCTTCCCAGTACTGTAAAGAGCTGGAAGCTCAGGTTAGAGCTGGGCGTCCAAACAACCTGCAGAGGTGCAGGAGGAATGCAGGAGAATGGCATGTGTTCAGTGTCAGTTCAGTTTAATACCACCCAGCTTAAATGCACACTCCAGCAGCAATTATCTTTCTCTTCCCCATTACAGGAATAATGGCAGAAGATGCTTTCCATCACAGATCCAGCTGTAAATCAACATCTGTTGTCTATGTCTGGAATACATACTTGGACACTTTTTAAACTAACCTTTGCTGCATTAAATTATTTGATTCCTCACAATCATTTTATGCTACATGAAGGTCAAGGATTGTTTGTATGTTCTATATTACAATTTATGATGGTATATATTTGCATTTTCAAAGGAAACAGTCTTGTAATATAAAAGAAAAAACATGCAAAAAGCATTTTTGGAAATATCCTTAAGATTCCTTTTAGGGTTTTTCTATTTTAAGCCTTGGAATTAAAATACAATTTATAAAATAGAAGTTTCAGATATTTTATGTCTTCTACAGTTGCAACAGAATATGTAAAAAGTGTCCGCTCTTTAAAATAAGAAATGTACAGTACAGGAGTACACCCGTGCTCACAATGTCTTCCTAGTACCCTCAACATGACATTTCTGTCAGTGAAAACAGCATGTGATTAGCCAGGAACTCATATAAATGAAAACAGGAAAGATCCTTTCTTTCACTTGATGAAAGACAATTAAAAGGAAGAGACTCTCAGCAAGTTTGCTGATGATACAAAACTGGGGGGACTGGTTGATACACCTGAAGGCTGTGCTGCCATTCAGTGGGACCTTGATAGGATGGAAAATTGGACAGAGAAACCTAATGAGGTTCAACAAGGGCAAGTGTGGGGAACTGCACCTGGGGAGGAATAACCAGTACAGGTTGGGGGCTGACCTACTAGAGATCAGCTCTGCTGAGAAGGATCTGGGAGTATTGGTGGATGACAGGTTGACCATGAGCCAGCAGTGTGCCCTTGTGGCCAGGAGGGCCAATGGTATCCCAGGGTGCATCAGGAAGAGAGTGGCCAGCAAGTTGAGGGAGGTGATCCTCCCTCTCTACTCAGCCCTAGTGAGGCCCCATCTGGAGTAGTTTGTCCAGTTCTGGGCTCCTCAGTATAAGAAAGACAAGGAGCTGCTGGAGACGGTCCAGCAGAGAACCATAAAGATGATTAGGGATCTGGAGCATCTCTCTTTGGAGGAGAGACTGAGGGAGCTGGGCCTGTTTAGCCTAGAGAAGACTGAGAGGGGATCTTATCAATGCATATAAATATCTCAAAGGCAGGTACCACGAGGACAATGACAATATTAGTACTTAACTACATTCTCTTACTGCAGATGAAATGAGAGGAGGAGAGATTGGAGCAGACACAAAAGGGCAAAGCAAGCCCTGGGAATACTGGAGCTCCCTGCTCTATCTACTTTTCCCTTAAATCACATACACAAAGGTGAATCGATTCAGTTTAAGTAACTGAGCTTGAGTTCTCTTAAGCCACATCCAAAGCATTTTTCATGGTCTGTCACTAACACCTCAGCTGGAGGCATCACAGCTGACAGCTGCATCAGGGTGCTGGCAGTAGGTGTTTGGGAAGAGGCTGTGCTTAAGGAAGTGAATGCTCATCATACTTGCCCTTACCAAAATGAAAGAGAACATTCCATAAATAAACATTTCCACCACCTGATTTTAATGCATTATATATTTGAATGACTAAGTTTGCAGACATCTAGCCATGTCCATATATCTAGTCCATAACTCCAGGTTTCTTTCACCACACTTCCTCTTTTCACTCCTTTCCCAGTTCTTCCAGTTGCTTTCCCCACCCATATCCCACAGTTTCTTTATTTAGGTAAGTTTTTTTAGGACGTGAGTCTTATTAAATCTCTGTACAATACCTAGCACCAAGACAAGCCTCGGATCAAGCACTGCCCTGCTACTCCTCTTGCACTGGCCAGAACAACAATAAAACTGACCAGGCAACCTATTAAAAAATAGCCTGTCTTATATTTCAGTAGTGGTGACTTCATCCATTTGTGGGTCATCACAACCTAAAAATAATATCTGTAGTAATTCAAGTTCTTTCTCAAAGTCACTTCTTTCCTTAGTGCAGCTCATGTTGCCACTGTTACCCAAAGATAAAGCGTTGTTAAGGTAACATCTACTAACCCTAGCCAGAGAAGACAATGCCAAATACTGTACCTTTGTCAGATGCAGAGGGTAAAACTCTTTTAAAGAAAACATTAAAAAAAAAAAAAAGAATAAGCAGCAGAGCCACAGGACATTTGAAATCCGAAAGTTTTTCAATTTTATTAAATTATGAAAAATGTGCAGCATGCATATTGAGAAAAACAATAAAAGATCTGAAGAAGTCTTGCACATTTGTGTTGCTAACCAGATTTCACTTCCTCAGCAACAACACAGGCTTACGGAAAGCAGTGCAAGAGTTGCAGGAACCCACTTCCATTCTGACAGTACCATGATTTATTATTGCCAGCCCCATGATGTTCTGCAAAATCAAATTTTCCCTTTCCGTTTGAAATGCAAATTTCCTTTCAGTGCTGTTCTGACATGTAATTTTACCAGGGAAGGGCTTGGTGCTGTATTTTTAGTCCACAAAGGCTGAAGGATCTGTACCCACAGCTTCTAGATAGCCTTGGCAATGCTGTAACTTTTAATAACAACTTATTATGCCTTAGACTGTATGCTGCACTGCTATTTATGACTCCATGAGGGTGGAATGGAGAAAGAGTTCTCTTAACTACAGCTGGGACTTTCCCGCAGGCAAGTCAGTTTGGAAATACCTGGAAAAGTGAGCTCTACCTCTCCTTTCTCTTCATGGGCACAAGCAGACCATCTCCAGAACTGCCTGGATTGACACTCAGCTCTGCAGTGGTTCATGCGCACATACACCATTCAGTTCAGGATGCTTTCACATCGTTGGCTTGCTCCTTCTGGCTAAAAGTTTGCAAGGCCCAGCTGAAAACACCCTTCTCTTGTTTTCTTAGTCACTTACAGAGGAGACATTTTCTACCCAAGTGCCAGCTTCTGTTTCAGAAAAGAGATAAATAAATGCTGACTTTTCGGGGTATGGCACTGGGTGGGAAAGACCAAACAGTGTAACAAAAGCAGGACTTGTGCAACCTATTCTGTAAGTTCTCACTTGCCACTTTGCTGAGGGATGTCTGCCTGTCGCAATAGCCTCATCTGGCTGGGTCCCTCTATCACAGCTGAGGGTCCCTCTAATGAGAAATAGATACTATGTCTTTGAGAGTTTGAGGTTATGGACTTTGTTGTGAAGTGGAGCCCATCCCACAAGAGTCTACCCTTCTTTCTTTCATGTCTGTGTTTGAACATTATCTTATCTGTTGGATGGAATAAGTGCTTATCTCCTACTATAAATGCCTTTATCTTCCCATTCTGCTGGCACTCACAAGAGCAGTATTCAGCTACCAGAAATTCAAGAACAGGGCTCCAGAAAAGCTGATAGAGAAACAGCAATGGACCAGACGCTCCAGCCTTATAAATTAGGAGAAGATTATGCATAGCCAGCTGTAGCATATAAATGCCCATTTTTATATGATGCCATGATCCTTGATGTTTATCATATGATGTAGCATCTGGTCAGTCTTGTTCACACCTCCCATATATCTGCTTTAATCAGATGTGAACTTGGGGTTTATTTACTTGCATGACTTGATCTCAGCTAAGAACCACTTAGGGGTGGAGCTCTGTTGTGAAATGATGTTGACTTTTGCCACAGATCTATTAGATATTATCAAGTATTCCAGCCTGCAGAGAATTAATAATAAATAGGTGGGGCTTTCTATGGATTTCAATGTTTGCTACAAAGATATTAATCTGTAAAATCTGCCTGATAAAAAAAAAAAAAGCACCCCAAACTCCTGAGTGTTGGTTTGTCACAAAGGACACAAGATACAAAACAAGAGTACTTCTTTGGAGAAGGGGAGGGAAAGAAAAGACATCGGTGTTCACTGCTAGGAAAGCTACAGTCTCCTTTGCAACTTGTTTTCAGAATCTTTTATAAAAGTTTTCCAAGGAAAAAGAACCTTTAAAATGTAATTCCCCAAATGATGAAGTAACTGGCTGTTTTATTGTCTTATGTGTTTAGTCTGCTGAAGGCCCAGTTCAAGGGGTCATTGCTACCAGAATTTTGGCTTGAGATGAGGAAAAATGAGAGGCTTGAGCCTTGGTGCTTACAAGGAAAGTTCAAAAAGGGAATACTTGAAAAAGCTCCATCATCTGAGGTAAATACTGAAGATAGTTATAAATTTTTTATCATTGTGCTCTTTTCTAAGGCAGTGGGGATTTGATGCTGAGTTGCCTAAATACCCTCAACAATGACAAAATGCAGCCCAGTGGTATCATGCTCTGAGGATTAGACTCTTTTAAACACAGGAGCAGGATGACAATGAAGAGCCATTGTGCTAATTTCTATATCTACAAAAGAGCAACAAAATTGTCATTAATTAATTCATTTCAGGCACTGTCATTCTGATACTTTTTTTTCTTTTTTTGGGGAGTGAGAAATCATACAAATCTCCAAGAAACAGTTTTTCATTTTCTAACAACTGATGAGTATTTCTTTAACATTGCTTGTCATGAGACACTGGGTTTAATAGCTGGCAGGCACATGATTGTTATAGGACTGGGCTAAGGCCTTATTTCTAGGCTAATATCTAAATATAAAATCTTATACTTGAAAGAATAAAGCTCCTAAAAGATAACAGAAAAAAACACAAGCAATAGGGTTGTCTTTGTTAAATCAAACAGTTTCAGAGGGTCTGTGAAGTCACTAAGCATGTCCTGAGTAGAATGAGAATCAGAGAGACAAACCTGGGAAAGAAACTGCTGGAAAAGGCAGAAAAGGCAGAAGACAAAGTGCACACATAGAGGGGCTGGGAAGCAGAGAACTTGCAGCATTAGAGCAATAAGCATTCAAAATAGGAGCAAAGTGATTTGGCAAACAACACAGACATTAGGCAGTTTCTGCCTCAGAAAGGGAGCCATATACTTCTATGGAGCAAAACTATTTCATATGTGTCCATAGTCAAGGAGAAGATACACCTAAAAGGACACAATACTAATGCGTTCTGATCAGAGAGACCATTTCAGCTATTTCAGCAGCAACCTCAGAGGGTAAAAGCCATTACTGAGAAGGGAAAAGCCAGAGTGAGAAATCCATGCACGTTTGGCAGACACAGCGAGGGATCTGCATGAGACCCTCACATCCTGAGGGTGGCAGCTGAAGTCATGATGGGACATCCCACAGTTATACACTCAACATCTATGCTGAAATATACTGTAATGTACTAATGGGATATTTACCAGGTATAAGCTGGACCCTGAAGTCATGTGTATATGATTTGTAGGGTTACATTAATAAATAC